AGAAGAGAAGGCTACTAGGAGACCTTCTAGCAGCCTTCCAGTACCTAAAGGGGCTATGACAGAGCTGGAAATGAACTTTCTACAAGGGCATATAGTGATAGGACAAGGGGAAATGGCTTCAAACTGACAGAACAGGTTTAGATTAGATATTAAGAAGAAAATTCTTTCCTGTGAGGTTGGTGAGACTCTGGCACAAGTTGCCCAGAGAAGTTGTGGATGCCTCATCCCAGGAAACCTTCCTGGCCAGTTTGGACAGGACTTTGAGCAATGTGGTCTATTGGGAGGTGTCCTTGCCCACAGCAGGGAGGTTAGAACTATATGATTTCTAATAAGGTCCCTTCCAATTCAAACCATTCTATGATTCTTTGATTCAAATCTGAAATGCTTATTGCTGCTTCTTTTTTTTACTTTTACCTTTTTTTTGCCTTTTTTTTTCCAAGAAAAAATGTTTGTGTATCCCCACAGGAGATATCTGGATTGAGTTCTTGGAGCATTTTACATGGAAGCAAAAGTTATCTAGATGTAGACCAAGAAATGTTCCTGAACAGCATTAAAATAATCTGACATATATTTTCTTTAAAATCGTGCATTGCTATTTGCATTCTATGATTGCTCTTATGTGTAATTTAGAAGGAACACCTGATATTCTGCATTTGATGAGCTATTGTGACTGAAGTGCATAACAAACTTTAATTGGAAGTTGTAGTAGTCATGCAGTTGGTGATAGAGAAACCACAGAGCCGCCGTCTTTCTTGTTTCCTTTCAAACCTTTCCTGTTGTTATTGATGAATAAGTGGTGTTGCTGCTCTGTTTTTGGCTATGACATTAATTTAGCCCGTGTTTGAACAGTTACACCTTAGAAATTGTCATCAGGGATTGATTGCCTTGCTGATGGTCTTAGTGGAGAGACCAAGGATTGATTAGGTTCAGAGATTGACTCACCTGCTTAACTCTACAGTCAGAGTTCCAAGGAGGAGTATGTAATCTGAAAATTTATCTTGGTATCTTCGCATAGGTTTATCTGCTTTTAAGTTTGTTGCAATTGCCTTTCGTGGAAGTGTTTTTTCTTGCCCTTGAGACTAGATAGCCTTCTAGATAGATTTTTTTTTTTTTTTTTTTAGAGCTCCAGTCATCCTCTGTCTCTGCAGATGATTTCTGTAACACTGTACTGTTTTGCCTTTCTTTCAATTTCTTTGTTTCTCTTTTCTGTGCTGTGTTCGTTTATTTGCTACTAATCTAAGGATTTGAATGGGGACTTCTGTGGTGTGCTAAAATCTGTTCTCAGCTAACTGGTAGCCTGTACAGAACTAGGACCTCTCAAACTATTGCTTTTGTAGGTTTACATTTTCTTTCCTCTTCCCCACCTCACACAGCACCTTTACAAACCACGCTAATTTACTTGACTGTTTCTTTTCTGGTGTCTTAGGGGTAGCAGAGTATCTTGAAATACACAATAGATAAGACATTACAAGAAGTGATTCTACAGCATTTGCATGATCCTATTGTCCTTCTCTGGTACTGCTTAGATTCAATTTAAATCTACAGTGTATGAGGACCAGTAGGTAATTCCCATGACTAAAATTCCTTTGCTCTAACACCATAATAAAAGTAATACAGCAGTTGATATGTTTTGTCTCCAATTGTCTTAAATCTTTGAAACTGGTAGGAAAATTGGTTTCTTGTTCCTGGAGTGAAGATAAGTAAGCATTCATGCTTTTTCCCATTGGCCAAAGTGAAGTGACTTTTTTTTTCAAGACACAAAGTCCTGAGGACACAGGAAACATTCTATATTTAATCTCATCTCTGTGCAATTTTAGCAGTTAAGTTAGTTGCATGGAACTGAGAGGAAAGTTTTATCTCAATTCTGAGTACATAGCCTGGTAATTTGGGAAACTGTTTGAAAAAGAAAGCAATATAATAGTTATACTATTTGAACAAAACATTTAATATAAAAGCTTTTTTTCTATTCAGTCAATATTGTTACTAAGGAACCACTAATTACTGTGCATCCCATTTATAGGGGGCCCTGCCAAATCCATGCAAATCATGTGATTTATAATTCATAAATCCCTGATCCCCTGAGAAACTTTACTCTTGCACTTAGACTAATTGAGTACTTATGTTCATCGATCCAGTCCATATAGCACCTTTAGTCCATATGGCAGCCTTTATTGTAGGGCTGGGAACTTCTGCTGTCATATATCCCCTGTAGCCCTTGCTGCTGTACTGTTTCCAAAATCTGCTTCCTTGATCCTCTGCTTCATAATCCTTCAGTCTGTCAGCAGTCAGTTCTGCCCAAATCAGAGCAATATTTATGTCTGTCTCCCCCTAGCTGCAGAGGTATAAAGTCTGTGTGGTACAATATTGCCTTTTGGGGATGGGACTGCAGTGGTTAATTGATCTTACCAGTAAGGTAGTGTTCTGGAGTAGCTGTATAATACACTGGCTTAAATTGGTTCTAATATGCATTTCTCCCAGTAGCTGCTCTCAAAAATGGCTCACTTATAAGAATTAGTCAACATTGGTGTTTGTTTTTGGCTTTGTAGGCTTTTGTTGCATGTTTTTCTATGTGTAGAGAGTAGATAACTTTTTTTTAATCTTATAATGCAGTGGTTGCCAGTAGTTACAAATACTCAAATACACAGTCTAATAGCTGATACGTATTTGTTTATAATAATCAGTGCACAGGTGAAGGAGATAGAACCCTATGCAAATTTCCTGTGCTGAACTAAAAATAAAAGTAAGGGACTAAAGATGTATTATGTTTCAGGATAATACTTCATGCCTCATCACTGTTACCTACTGTCCTAATAATTTTTTGCATAGTTTTGTGATGTGCTGTAATTGCAATTGTTATCCAGAAGAATGGCATCACTTAATTCTATCAAAACTGTGGAAAGCTAGATGAATGACAAATTAATAATTTACCATCTTTGCATAATACCGTAGCGCAGAATACCAGAAGGATTGATGGCAGAAGAGGTTAACAAATTTTAGAGGCTTCCATTAGCTTTTCGTTGTCATATGTTTGCGGTGCCGACTGAAATAAGCTTTGTAGGGGATCTCAGTCTAGGGAACTAATTACTCGTGCCGATTGCCACGCTGATGAATAGACCCTCATTGTATCGGTCCCCTGAAGACGAGGAGCAGGCTGTGATTCACGACTGCATCCTGGCTGATATTTGATAATAATTTTAACAGATAAATGTAGGAAGGCAGAATGATGAAGTGCCTCTCCGTGCTCTACGACTATCAAAGGCATGCACGTAGCCAGCTGTGTTCTGCCTTTTTTCTATAAACACTGGTGGAGAATTTTAAGTTATTAATCGACCTTTGAATAAACCCGTAGCTTCTTGTGTTTTATAATTTTTCTTTGGTTAATTATTCTAAAATCATTGGGTTTTACAACTAGAGCGTTCCAATTTCAGCATGACTGTAATACAGGCTAAGTGTGAAAATATGATACTGGGGAATTTGATTCCAATACTTCAGTATTTTGCTGGAATTAAGAAATCAGACAGATGAAGATTAGCACTACCTTTTCTTTGGTGTTAAAAAAAACCACAGGATTTTAATGAAGAATGCAAAGACAGTCTCCATTTTTATGAAATTTTTTTTCGGTTGGAATTTTTAATGTCTACAAATTGTGTTTGAGAGTAGGATTATACAAATCATTTTGGCTTTGTTACTACGTTTGAAACCTTGATTTACCTTAAATAAAACTCATTTTAAACCTCAAAGCTAGGAATGTAGATACCAAGTATTTTTTAACATTGTGATCTGTAAATTAGTTCTGGCTATTCACTTGTCAGTGTTGGCAGGTATACCTACTATTAGCTCCTGGATCAGAAATGGAATTTATATGCATTTTCATCTGTTGTTTTAATACTAGCTATGTAAACAAACAAAATCAGTGTTATTTAATTTGGGCGTACACGTTTTCAGGATATCATGGCTTTCTGTGCCTCAGGCATTTGCTGTTTGTTTATTTGCTATACCTGGAATTGGCATTTTTTATGCATTCTCTGGGCTAAAATACTGTTTCACAGTGGCATTCATTCATGATCATCTAACAAGATAGTAACTGGCACTTGTATATGACCATATTAAAAAGATCTACGTATATTTGGAACGTACAATGGAAAATAATGAATTTGGTATAACCTTTTCTAGATGTAATTTTTTAAAAGTATGCCTTCTATGTAGCAATTATTACACATCATAACATGTAGTTTTTAATTAAATGTAAAAACACAACTACATAAACCAGAAATGCAATCTGATTTGCTTGAAAATAGATTGCTGTTTCACTCTCCTGGAATGGTTTATTTAAAAACAGTAAATGGAAAAGAAATGCATTTTCTCGTGTTGTTCTAAGCCTCAGGGGCTAAATGTAATGAATATTTTAAGAGATTATTTTAATTAAATTCCTGCACATCTAAACAGAGTAATATTTTATTATCACATACATAACCATGTAACTGAGGTATTCATTAAAGTTAACACTTTCTGGACCAAGAATTCATGGCATGATTTACTGACCTTGTGCAAAAAGGCACAAATTAGGAAGAAAAATGAAGGGGGACAGACTTTGATTAATATAGGTAATGCTATACCATATTTATAATAGCCTTTTCCCTATTCTGGTTTATAAATGCAGTCAGTGAGAAAGGTGCCCTGCTGAGGCTGAAATGAGGCTGAAATCGGAGCACATGCCACTAGAGTGTGGGGAAACTGATCACACTGTCAGCAATTCATTTCAAAATGATGTATTTAGTGCTCATTTCACCTTCCAAGAAAAAAGGGAAAGGAGTTCCTTAGACTGGAAGGTGATATTGTTATTTTCAAGGACATACCTAAGTAAAAGATTGCAGAAAGGGGGGAGGTTAAAAAAAAAAAAGGCGAAAGCAGCGCAAACAAGGAGAGCTTTATGCAGAAATTCAGCGCTACCATGCTGTTTGATAATTGCTAACATATGTGGCTCCTCTGTTTCATTGTAGTCGTCCTCGTGAGTTCTGGCGCCTTGACTACTGGGAAGATGACTTGCGGCGCCGGCGACGATTTGTGCGTAACCCCCTCGGATCGACACATCCTGAAGCGACGCTCAAAGCAGCCGGAGAGCATGGTCAGTGTAAAATCTGCCGCTTGCCACCAGCGGCAGGTTACAGTACGTGGTGGCAAAGACTAGACCTTCCCTCCCGTGAGAAGGCTGGGAAATGGTCCCAAATCCAAGGCTTCTGTCATTGCATTTCGTGTTCGATACGAGGCTAAACTGATTACTTCATATAAGCACTGTTGGTGTTTGCTAAGCCCCCTCGTTACGTCTTAGCAGGGCTGGCACCTTGTGCATGCTTTGCATGCCAGGTTTGCAAATACAGTTTTTGCTAAGCAGAAGAAAAGTGGATGCAATTTTGCCATTAATCCGTGGACACACTTCCTTGTAAATTACCTACTTATACTTTAGTAACTTCAGAAGAAGGACTTTCCTGGTCAGAAATCCACAGCAATTATTTCAGTGAGCCTTGGCTCTTATCTACCTATCATTACGGGTATATTAGAAGTTAAACTGCACAGATATTTGATTATGTGTAAGTCCTCTAGTTTTTCTACAAGAATTTGATATGGAATAAATAGTAGCAAACGCTGAGATGTAGAGTTACTGCTCAAGAAGCAAAACAGTAATGATGATTTCTACTTAGTGATTTAAAATAGGAGATTTTTTTTTTTCCAGGATTTTTTCCCATCTTCTAATCAGGGATCTCTCAGTTACGTCTGCTATGTCTGTTCTAGAAGAGAATGAGTTTACAAAACTGAGTTTTGTAAATACTCTCAGTTTGAGAATTCTATAGTAAATAAAAATATAAACAATCAAACAAAACCACACCCCAAACTAATGAAATTTGAGTTTTAGTATAGAATTTTATGATTTTGCAGTCTAATGAATACATTAATAAGATGGAAAAATCTTTCTTGTATTTAAAAATAATTTGCTTATATTTAAAGCTGAGTACCCTTCACCTTGAAGATATATGTCATGGAGCAGAATAATTTAAATTTAGTTGTTTTTTTTTTTTTCTTTTTTAGGTTGTGAATTACTGCATACATACACACAAATTATATGTGGAGGCATAAACTTTATGCTAATTTAAAATTATAAAGACTGTTGTGTGAATATAGAAGAACATCACTGTTGTAAAGTTAGTTTCTGTCAGGCATCTTAACCTCTTGCACTCAGCCTTAAAGAGCCATTTCTGGAAGAAAATGTCTACAATATGTCAGCTGATATAATGCCAAATGTGACATCAGTCCTCTAAAATAAATGACCGTACAGAGAATAGTCAATAAAGTGATCTGAAAACAATGTTTGTAGAGCCCTACATCTTTGACTATAGAAAGAGGAACAAGATGTAGAATTAATTAACCCATTTTTTGCTTTGGGGCGTGTTGTTCTTAATAGTGGGTGTTGTTTCTAAGCCATGGACTTTAAGGGCACTCGATTTTTTTCTGTTTAATACTCGGCGGACAAACAACAACTGCCCCCCCTTTAATATTGTGGGTCCTTTAAAGTCAATAGATCTTGTTGCAGTTTTATGTATTCTACTTATATTTTCATATTTGGTCTTTAAACTGTTTATCAAAATTTTAAAAGTATCTTTACTTTTACTGAAAAATATTTATATTTGCATAACTAATTCTTCCATAAGTAAACACACGGTGATGCAATTTTTTTTTGTTTCACACTACTGTGGTATTTTCACTAATCCATTCTATATTTCAAGGGTTATGGCTCATACTCAGTTTGTAATTGACAGGACTACAATTTTTGTCAATACAAAGAAAGACTGAATAAAAGTAGCCCTATTTCATAGGCATGGCTGGTAGCTAACCCTGGTAATTTAAATAGAGCTAATCGTTTTCTGTCTGCCTTTCTGTTCAGATTTTGACATCCTTAGCAGTCTTCTATTATGTTTAGTTTCCTTTATCCAAAATTTAAATGCATACTGCATTTGTTATCTGTTGTCATTTTGTTTCTTCAACTATCCAGTGAATATTCTAGTTTACCTTAAGTATTATTTAATGTGACTTCTGAAAATATAGATAGTTGCTATCTGCCTGGGTGTGTGTTTAAATGCAACTGTCTTGTTCCAAGCCCTTCCACTGGCAAGGTGTAAATAGATGACCAAAACACAAGCTCAAGTTCAACTGGAAACTACAGATAATGTATAGGAATGCATAGGTAGTTGGGGTTTTTAATGTTTCATTTTGGATTTGTTTTTTTTGGTGTGGTGTTTTTGTTTTGGCTTGGAGGGGGGAACTGAGTCTCAGAAGGTATAGTTGTCAGAAAGGTCTACTGGAGTGGTCACTTGGTCTATTTCTTTCCGAACAGTGTTTATAAACTTTTAATATTAACCAGTTTCATGTCAGAAAATCTGATTATTTTCAGATCTTTTGCAGTCAGACTTTTGGGCCCTGTTTTCATGATGTAGATATCCCTAGGATTCGCAGAATATTTTCTCCAGTATGTTATGATTTCATATCAATAATTTATCATTAATTATTCCATTTCAATTAATTTTACATGTCTCTGAAGCAAAAGCATTTTTAGATAATGTGTAAAAGGTTCCCTACTGCCTATTTGAGGTTTTCTCAAAACATAACAGACCAAAGCCTAAAATTAGACTTAAGGGATTTTACCAGAAGGGAGATGGGAAAATAATGCATAAATATTGGAAAAGTGCTATTGCAATGACCATACTTGAAAACATGGATTTTAGCACAGTTTTCATTAGAAAGTAAACATTATCAACTGCTTGGTATTTTTCAAATACAGCCAGCTGTATTCTCCACCCCAGAGAGCTCACAGTGTAGGAGTCATCCCAATTTGCAACTGTGAAAATTATTCAGAAACAATCAGAAGCCCAGTAAATATTGTTCAGTAAAACCTGAGGAGAACAACAACAATCAGCTCTGTTGCAGCCTAGTTATGTGTCTTAGTAGCAAGAACCAATCTTTTCCAGGGATTGATTTGATTTGAAGGAGAACCTCTGGTGCAGAGGTGGCAGAATAAATACCTGAAGACTAATGTTCTCTGTTCAGACAATCAATACCAGCCCCATGACTATACTTCTGGCTACCTTCTAGTTAAAAACAAATTTTTTAATTCTGACAATTTAATTGCCATTCCCAAGTTCACATTAACTTGCTTGGGAAAAAAAGGCTTTAGGTAATTTTTCAAAGGAGGAGGAAAAAAAAAAAAGATCCTTCCGAACTGGCTATTTGTAAAAGTCAGTCTAATAGTGTATTGTGAGGAGAGGAAAGAGAGGTGAAGGTGGTTCGGTAGAAAGTTTGGGATGGAAAGAGTTAACTCTTTTCTATTCTCCCTTTCACCTACTGTTCAGAAATAGAACCAAAATACTTATATAAATGTGAAAAAAATGAGTACTTTAAACCTGTTGGTATTTTTAAATTGACCCCCAAATGCAAGACTTTATGAGAGAATCTTTAGCTGATAGAAAATACCTTATCGAGATTTTTAAACCAGTGATTTATTGTGTTTTTTAATTGACATTTGTTAAAAAATTTGAGGAGAGGGGGATTAAAACAGTCTGACAGCCTGTAGCATTTCCATCAAGGCAATAGGTGGAGTTCAGGGCTTTGTGACTGCAAAGGACTGGCAGCTGGTCACCTCAAGTATTGCAGTCGACTGGTTAGTTTTATTTGCCTCAACTCAAGGGATGAAAAAGAAGTCCTAAAAATAATATTTTAGAAATCTGTTTTTTCCATTGTTATCTTTTTAAATAAATGCGAAGACTAGAGGGAACCCTTTGTTAAAAAAAATATATATAGTAGGGGGTTTTTAATGTACCTTTTCCTTGAATTGCTTTTCCTAGTATATTTACCAGTCTTTAAAAAAACGCAGTAACTTCTGTATCATGTTTTTGGATACTTTATTTCTCAAATTGCTTTTAAAAACTGTAGTTTGCATGTAGGCAGACAATTCAAAACAATGTGTCATTCTAGCAATGTCTTAAGCTTGGTCAGCAGCGTAAGCCAAACTGTTATTTTTACGCCCAAACGTTCCAGAGATTTAACTGGAATAAATACAACCCACTGCAGATGCCGAGATCTGTTTGCAAAAAGCTACTTGAAGAAGCTGAGTCTTACAGAGAGGTTTGGGAAGGATTGCATGGAATTACACTAATGAATTATAATAATGAAATTGCTGTGCTAGATTAATACTGTGCCAGCAGGCTGTTATGGTCAGTGTGATACACAGGCCATGCCTTGAGGTCTTGATCCTGAAAAGGTGTGTGTGTGTGCTTAGATCTGCAGGGCTGGAGCCAGAAGCTCCAGTCTCCCCAACAATAGGCAGGCCTGGCAGAGAGTGATTTAGGTTGGAAAAGGCAGAGCAGGGTTTGGGACCTGAAATATGAAATCCAGTGTGATATCCCTATGTGTATGTGTGGGAACTGAGTATGTCACGTGATGTAGTGCTTTGTCATATGTGACTCTGATCAGTAAATACATGGAGAGAACTGGACTGTGGCCTACCTACGTAAGTGCATTTATCTACAGAAGAATAGGTGAATCCATGTGGAATGTATTGTGTTCTGTGCAGATACTCACACGAGCCTGTGTGTGTTGGTTGCAGATGTAGTGCTTTATTCAAGTCAGTACAGAAAAAGCAGATTCTAGTTCAGAGTGTGATGTCTCATTGCCTTCCAGTAGCTAGTTTGCAGGCGGGTAGACAGGCCCTACATCTTCCTGTGCCTGTGTGTACACACGTTTTGTGCACGTCAGGAAGTGTGGGTAGCTAACATCGTGTACAAAGAGATGACAAAAACTTACAAAAGCGGACTAAAAGAATTTATGCTCTAAAATCTCTTTTTAAAAAGGCAGTTACGTAAGATGTATGTTTTTTAATCAGTATAATATCATTAATTCGGGAAAGAAATAAAATCTGAGTAAGTGAAAAAGACAAGGTAAGAGGTGTGTACTTCTGTTATCCAGTCATCTTTGGTTTGAAAGTTGCTGTACTGATTTTATTTTTTCTTAAAGACTGAAGGACATAGTAGCATTATGGACAAGTTGTGCTAACTATAAAAGTATTGAGTTTTGATTTTGGTTCTAAATTCAGTCTTAAATGAGACTAGGCAGAGGGCAAGTTTGAAATAGCATGTTCAGTATAACACAGACTCTAGTAGAGGAAGCAAAAAATGGCAGGTCTGTACAGTGCAGATGGGGTTTTTGAAACAACAAGTATAGTTTGCCTTCATTAAAAGAAAAAGGACCCCCCCAAAAAAGGAAAAGAAAAGAATTTATTATCTTGGACTTCATCCTGAGGTGGTTTTGTTCTGTTTTACTTTTTTTGATCTTTAACAGTGCTGGTAGGGCAGTGAGTAAGAGTGCATGTGGTGTGTGTTAGTACACTGATGGTAATTTTACTGCTGCTAACTGAAAATCCTCAAGGGGGAGTTAATTACAGGAAAACCTTCCTAAATATCAGCCGCATATTTTCCATGACAAGAAGGTTTTCGACTCACATTGAACAACTCCAGAATTCAAGTTATCATTATTTACATGAGCACATTTTGCAAGAAAGTAAAATTTGTGTTCGTACAATGCAATTAAAGCTTTACAGTAATTTTTTTTAAGGCTTGTTTACAAATGGCAGTTAGGCAGAAAGGATCATACATACATGCCATACATGTTGTATGGCAAGTTAAATTTCCTTTTATTTGTGTTTTTGTGTGGTTGGTTTGGGGTGGGGTTTTTTGTTTGGGTTTTGTTGTTGTTTTTGGGATTTGTTTTGATTTTGTTTTTGTTTTTTGTAAGATTAAGGCCTAAACTAAAACCAGGGTATTTGGTCATTTAGTTTTTTGTGTTGTTGTGGTTGGTTTTTTATTGTTAGGGTTTATTTTTTTGTTGGTTGGTTTTTTTTGGGTGTTTTTTTGGTGGTGATTGGATTTTTTTACTTTTCTGTAATTGAAAAGTTTTATTATTTGCAATTTATGTGCATGTATTTGTTTAAACAGTTTAAACTTTTTGTATTGCCACCGGGGAATTGCTGCCTTCTGTAAATGTTTGCAGATTAACATATTTTTAGAGTAAGCCCGTAGAGCTTCAAATCAAGTGTGGCAGCAATCAGAGTGAGCAGCAACCAGTGTGTTGAAGTTAGTTGGTCCTGATTTGTTTGGTGAATGTTTTTCAAACACGGCTGTGCCATGGGTATTCTCAATGTATCTTTTAAGACACAGTATTTTTATTTTCACCTTAAAAAAAAAAGAAAAAAAAACCCCAACACATAGACTGCTGTATTTTGGCATTTACCTCAGCAAGAGATAATTTACATGTAGAGCAAGTAATTGCCTGTTTTTATTGCCTTTTTTTTCTTTTTCCTCTTTTTTCTTTTTTCTCTTTTCCCTATTTTCTTTTCCTTTTTTTTTTTCTTTTCTTTCTTTTTTTTTTCTTTCTGCTGCTGCTTGGAGCTTGTAGTTTAAATAGACCCGGTTTGGACGCAGCAGCGCTCCCGGGGCCGTGCGGGGCGGGGGTGTCGCTGCCCGGGCACGGCGGTGACACATTTCCCTGCCCCGTGACGGTGTACGGGGCGAAACAGGCGCTCCGAGTCCATCCAGAGCTGCTCGTTCACTTCTCTTCCATTCCGAAAATCCCGACGTGAGCCCAGGAATGCCCCCGTGATACTGGAGCGCTGTGCCCCTTGGAAGCAGGTGCACGCTCTTCTGCGCCTCCAGCCGCGATCCTGGGGCAGATTCGTCTCCCCACACGCCACCTCCCCTCAGAATCCACATGCCGCTCCCGGCGGACCGCGCCGCGAATGGGAGCGGGAGGAATCCGAGGGCTGCAGCTCCGGCGGGGCCGGAGCCTGCGCCCCTTCACCTTCCCCGTTCCCGGGGGGTTTCCCGCCGGATGCCGCGGGAGGAGCCCCTGCTTGGAGTGGGGCCGGGCGACTTGTGGGGGAGCCCTGTGGGAGAGCCCCCGGGCCGCCCCCTCCCCGGCTCCCTTTCCCTCCCGCCGAGGGGCCGCCTGTTGCGCTGCCCTCGGGAGGGTCTCGCCGCTCCCGGCCCGCAGGGCACGGTCCTTCACCTTGTGCCCCCTGGGCTGTGCTCAGTTCCATCCCAGTGGTGGTCCGGTGTGCTTGAACCATGGATTTGGGAGTCAGGTTAACACACCGGGCAGTCGGGACCTGCCTCCATCTCCACTTCCCTGGGAAGGCTGCAGGGGAAGGGAATCCGCTGTGTCCTTTTCCCCTCTGTCATAAACACTTGAAATAGAGTTAAACGCTGCAGAGAGCACTGGATAATTTTGAGCAGGCTTAATAGGATTAAAACTAGATGTGTCCTAACATTAGAGGATTAAGACAGGTACTTCCACAACTAGTCCTAAACAGTTTTCTTCCTGAACTTTCATAAAAGAAAAAAAAAAATTACACTCCTTTGTCACTGCTGCCTCTGAGACCTGACTGACAGCAATGTGTCTCTCTTTCATTTCAGGTCCCAATGAGGATATACTTGTTAAAGGAAAGCAGTCCATCAAGAGTCAAGTTTTAGGAAACCAGAACTCAGAAAGTGAGATTCTCTTGGAAGGCGATGATGATATCATGTCATTCATGGAGGAAAGAGAAGTGGAGAACTTAACAGGTAATTTCACCTATCTGATTTTCTCCTCAGCTTGTTTTCTGTTTAAGTTCTGATCTCCCAGTCTCTGCAGTGAGTCGTGATTTGGGATACACATTGATAAATTGTTGCTTCCCATGATCGGGCCGTTGAGGTTTATTTGAGGAGAGTTGTGCATTTGAGGAGTGTTTGTGCACTCTCTGTTATATAAGTCTTTCTGACTTATATAACCTCCTTGCTTCTGCAGTAAATGTCCATATTCTAGGAAACCCCCCTTAAAGAAAGTAACTCTACCTTGAAACAGGCTTTCTTTGTTTTTTGATCTCATTCCACTCAAATCGTTAGACCTAGTGGACAATTAGGCAAGTCGTCTGTAATTAAAGGGTTTTGAGACCTCTAATATTTTTCCCGAGTCTGTAAAATTGTACATATTTGTTATTTACTTGAGTGTGAAGGATTTTTACACTCACTGGATTTAACTCCATTAAATCCCTAGACGTTCCCCCATTGAAGTTCTTCTTTCTCCACAGACCGTAGTCTTATTAGACTTCACTTTTTTTTTTTTTTTCTGAAGAAGGAGAAATAATACTTCAGGTCATTGAACTTAATTAATTTTACACAGTCACATGCAGCCTTTGCTGATGTTGCAATCTGAGTGCAGTGGATCCATTTCTGTACATTTCAAAATGGAAAACTGGAGTAAGCAGTGGTTCAGGGACTGGGAGTTATAAAGCTTCTCCGTTGTTATTTGAGGAATGTGAGTTTTTTACAAGGAAAACGCAAACTTCTCTGTGTTCATTTGCTTCTCCTCTGGTATCTTATGTACATTTACTTTGGAGAGAATTGTCAGTTATTGGATAATTCTGGTTCCCGTAGAAGCTAGTAGTATAATCTTACATTGATACGTATTGTACATATAATTCACTGAAAATGCTAAAAATGATTATTTATTGGCATTTTGCTTATCCATGAACTGCATTCCATTCCATTTAATTAACCAAAAAAAAAAGCAAAGTTAAAAATGCAGCATAATGAATAAAGAAAACCTGCGTAGGAAGAGTAAAGTAAAATAAATTAACAGGAGAATGATGCAATGGCATTTTCTGTATAGAAATCTTTTATTTTTCACTCCCTACAATGAGCTTCCTTCTCAACAGCCTTCTCCATGTTTCCTTCTATTATTCATTCATTGGTTCGAGTAATACATTCATACTGTAATAGAGGTGAAAGGGGAGTTTAATTATATAATCTTGACAATGGCAATAGGATTAAGAAGTAATCCTCACTAATAAAGTGGTGTGGGTTAGAAATGAAGTGGAAATTGTCAGGGGTCTTCTACAGGACCTGGACTGCCCCAGCTTCTGCAGCTGTCTGCTTGCCCTGTAATTGAATGTCTGCGAGTGATTGAAAAAATGTTATTTCTCCTCTGGATTACATGCTAATGTACAGGGGGCAAAGGGAGACAGCAAAAGAACACATAGCTGCTTATTTCATCCATTTGTGGGGGTGAGCTTTGGGAAATCATGGCAGTTCCACAGCTATCTCATGCCCATCTGCAAACACAATGTATTTGTACATTGGGAATAGAGGGCAAAGCTGCTCTGATCTCAGCAGAGCATCTCTTCTTTTGTCCTAGTGGCACACATTGAGATTGATGCGAGATTAAGGACCATCACCCTCCTAACAATCGATGGAAATGACAATTCATCTGAATTTTTTGTCAGTTATTCTCACGTTGATTACCTGAACGTGTGTACCTCCTTTATAGATGCTTTATTAAAACAAAATTATCTGTGTCAATTTAATTTCTTCCACTGCTTTGCAAAAGTCAGATAATACTGCAGCCGAATAACTTCATTTCCTTACCTCTTAATCAGCTGGATGACAAACCTAACCTGTTTTCTTTCTGTATGTGTTAGTTTATATAATAGGTTCTGCATTGTCAGATCTATGCTGAACCTATTGTTTTCAGTAGTAGTCTGATTTGTCCCTGTGATAAGCCCTGTGGAGATGTGATTATTCCAATAAAAATTCATTCAGTTGGAAACCAACCCTCCAGCTGTTTACTCCCACAGTCCCCGAGCTACACTAACACTGTATGGATTCCTTGAACAATATTTAAAGTGGAATCAAAAGCATCTTTAAAACATTTTACTTTAGGCTCTATAACATTGTGTAACCTTAACAATAGATTTCTAGCATCCATGAGGGAACACTTTACAGTTAGACAACTTTGAGCCTTGACTGCTACGTTCATCTTGGTGAAAAGCTATGGAAACTTTCCGGTGACTAAAGAACACATCAGACAGTAAGATTTCAAGTGTTTGTGTGTGCACTCTCTGTATTGTATATAACAGAAGGTATGCAAGTCTATAAGTTTCTCAGAAGGAAAAACATGTCTGAGTAAAAGCTAAATACTGCCATGCTAAAGCCAGCTCTGTATAATGTATGCAGCAGTTTGCAATTGTAGCTGCTTCAGTGTTCAGCAGCACAGAGACACTGCAAATCTATTACATATGTTCTTTTCCAGGATAAAAAGAGTTTTGCTCTTGAAGGAAGAGCTATACTCTTTGCTTTATTTTAATGTTCTTGGCTTGAAAAGCAAATAATTTGCACTCGCGTTCTTTTCAGTTTGAACATTGTTGGTGTTTTCCGGCTTTGGCAGGTCCAGTTGCCCTCAGCACACCAGCTCAGCTTGTGGCACCCTCAGTAGTAGTGAAAGGCACTCTTTCCATCACTCTTTCTGAGCTCTACTTTGAGGTGGATGAAGAAGATCCTAGTTTTAAGAAAATCGACCCAAAGGTAAGAGATCATTGACCCTGAGCTCTGAGAGATGATGACAAATTACCCAAGACCTTTAATTCTTCACTCGACTTCCTTTACCTCTATTGGTCTGCAGTGTTGCTGCTTTAATAACTTTGTGACTGACCATATATGTTACTGAACTTCACATAGGTGACACCTCCTTTCCTTCTCCTTTTTCTCCCCCTCCCACGATTCGCCCCTACTTGAATGTTAATTAGCTTGCTGTGAATAAAGCTCCAGGGAGATGTCTTAAATAAAGACATCTTGAATCACAGGCCTGTGTGAATACTGGAAAGTTCAAGGAGGCATTTTAGCCCAAATGCTTTGTTTTACTTTCCTGATTTTGTGTGATGGCAATGTAAGGTAGTGCTAAACTTCCTACTCTCCTAAGTTGTGGTATTATTCTATAGAAGATTTTACGGGGCCTGTTATTATTTATTGTGCCTAGGTAGAAAACATAATTGCCCTCCTGAAATACGTTTCTGAACTGACTTGCTAATTTCCACAAACTTTACTTGCTCCAATTTGCTTTTGTTTAAAATTAGTAACCTTCGATAGAATTCCAATTTCAAAGGGAATATATTTTGCGATTAGCTTAATAAGGGTGCACTTGAATGTTTTCTGCAGTGTCACAGCAGCATTTCAAAAGTATGAGGCAAATGGTAAATATTCTCGCATCCCAACTTAAGCACAGTTGTGGCTCTTGTTTTTTTAAATATCTACTTAATATTAAACAAGGTAATAATTTCTTTGTGAAGGCTACTATTGGAAGAAGTAGTGGTTTTCTGCTTGTCTGTAGAGAATAGCTTGTGTGTTAAGCATCAGTTCAGTTCTTTGTTCCTACTGAGTAAATTGCTTGTATCTGTATTAAAAATGACATTAGGTTGGAAAGCTGGGATTATCAAATCCTATCAAGGAATAAATTTATTTTGAAAAGCAATGCTCTCAAATTGTTAGAGCTAGATTTTAATATAATTAATTAACTAGAATTGTGATTTTTATGTGATATCATAAATGAGATTTAACTTTTCTTTTGGTCCTGAAGTATTTTTGAAATATATTGGAAATTATTTCAAGTATGAGATAGTTCTTAAAATTTTGCAATACTTCCTCTTTTCATTATGTTTAACTAAAAGAAAACCACCAAAACTGAAAAACACTCAGTGGTGAAAAGAATATAAATATAAACTGTAAAGTCAGTTTGATATGTTACTGTATTGCGTTTTCCATCTAAAATCTTCTGCTTTGTAATGCATTAGCATGAGAAAAGTCTTACAGATCTGAATTATTCTACATTTTTTACCATGTTTAGCACATAGAGTGTTTGAGTACAGTTACTAATTCTTACTATTCCTGTTACATGTTTTATGGGAGCATTGACATACAACATATATATATTCATCCTCCTTTCTTTTCTCCTGTTTTTGAGTATTTGCTAGTTTGTGTTTTTTTTTCTTAACTATGAGCAGGCATTCTGTTTTGGCTTGACTGTATCTTTCATTCTACATCTGAGAGATTTTATTTGGGTTCTTATAACGGGAGGAGTTGGTTATATGAAATACTGGCTACAACTCTTATATTCTGCTTGCCATTGTTACTTTAGCTGGAGGTCTTAAAAAAGACCTTTTGTAATGTCGGGGGGGCGGGCTAAAAATAAAATCTGCATAATTTTATCTTAAAAACCAAGTAAGGTTACAAAGCAGCTTGTTTTCAAGCATTAACACCTCCCTGCCCCACCCTCTGCTGAAGTCAATGTACCTTGATAGCGGTGACTGGAGCTGCTATAGAAAATGCCCCTTGGAAAAAAAAAAAAAAAACCAAAACAAAAAAACAAAACCCAAACAACTAATCCGCTGTAGCTCAGCAAGCCTGCTTAATTAATGAGGCTTCATTTGTTTGATAAATTTAAGTTCCCTGTATATTTGTCTAAACTACTGAAAAGAAAACATTGTGACAAGTTCCTGAAGGAAAACCTGCCTCACGTAGCGATAGCATCGGCAGCGATACGATCACAGTTTACACGCGAGCTCGGGGCTGTTATGGGAAGGAAAGGGTAGCCCCGTGGGCTAAGCCCGTTTTGCCGGGCGATCCAGGATCAGCGCTGGGGGAAAGCGCTCTGGTGACTCCACAGGAGGCTTGCGGAGCTCAGCCGGGGCTGGAGAGGCCGGGAATGCGGCGGCGGGGTCGCCTCCGCGCACCCCGCTCCATCTCCCGGGCTCCTCCCGCAAGGGATAATTTCGTTTTTAACTTAAGGGCAAAAGCAGCTAATGTTGGAATGGGTTTTTCTTTCCGGATCCGTCCAAAAAGAAACGAAAGTAGTCCTTTGGGGCGAGAATTTACATATTTTTACCTCCCCCTTGCTCCCGAAAGGACATGAAAACTTGCTCGAAATGCTCCGAGCCGGCAATTTTTCGGGCGGCTCGAGCGGGTAATCCTAACGTTTTTAAAGCTTAGCAGTGCGTTCCCGATAAAAATCCTGCCAGTATTTCCAAGTCGTCCTTAGCAATCTTAAAGCGAAATCGCTACGGGAAATCAAGCAGATTTTCTTTGGCTTTGGCAGAGGGGGCTCGGGCGGGGAAGGAGATCGGCAGAGAGCACCCGGGCGCCGGTGTAGGATCGGGTGGTATCCTGACGGGTTCCTGCTTATCTCCCCGTCTGACTATGCTGAGGTGCGATTTTATGCTGTACTTAAAAATCTGGGGGAAACAAATGTTTGTTTAAAAAAAATATCGACCGGTTACTCTAAATCGCATTAATTATTCAGGGTAGATCTATACTTCCCTCGTGTCTAAGTCAAATGGGGGTACCGCGTTTGCTCTGGAAAGCGAAAGTGAACAGCAATGAATTTTTAAAACAAAATGCAGCGCTTGAGATTTACTGGGGAAATTTAAAAAAAAAATTTTAAGGAAAAAAATTAAAGGTGACGACTGTAGGGTGGGAAACGGCATGCTCCAATTCTGACTAAATTGTGGCGAGCTTCTGTGCGATGCTCCATAGATTCAGAAAATTTAGAATGGAAGTTTAAGGTACTAGAAATATAGCAGATGTTGTCACATTCTGAACTACAGAATATATAAGATTTTTTAATCTTAGATGCCCTCTTTTTTTTTTTTCGGTAGATGGAAACTAAAGGGAAGTTTAGAAAACGTCAGTCAATATGCCAGGCTAAGGCTTGGGCTAGGTGTCGCGTTTAGACTATCTTTACATCTCATGTTTTCGTTTCTACTAAAAAATTTACTTTTGAGGTTCAGAAAGAATCTACTTTCCTGAATTTAAGAACCATTCACGAAAAGTCAGCTTAAAGTTAAAGTAATATTTTTATTACTATTTGCAACAAGTCAGTTGTGGGGCACATAATCTGACCTTGGCACCGAAATACATTTAACATCAGTAAAACTTTTTTAAAGGGAGATTTGTACATATAGTTAAATAATTTTCACTTGGTGACAACATTCAGGCAAACAAGAGAGCATAAGAAAAGGACTATACATGGATTGGAAAATGTACCTTTCGGGTTTCGTTTTGAAGTTGCAAAAGTCCGATCGCTTCTTTTTGTGACATTTTAAAAATTCACATTGGAGGACGGGAGGAGAGGCTCTTCCTTTCTTCCGTGCAAGGCGGTGAGAGTTTATGCCGGGAAAACCGTCGGCAAGTTTTTAAAGGCCGAGCTGCAGGTGGGTGGGGGGGGTGCGGGGGCGCCTGTCTTTCGCCGCCTCTTTCCGTCGTCGTTCGCGTTAAATAAAAAGTTTTTTAGGCGCTGTTGTTGTTTACGGAGGGCGAGTTTTTGTGCGCGGGGGTGTTAACCCTATAGCTTGTCGAGGCTTTTGGGATTGGTGAGGATTTCTCTGGCTAGCCTCCAGGTCTGTTTGGCAGCGCTTTCCAGGGCCGAGTGGGGTTTGCCCTGAAAGAGGTCTAGGTTGGGCAGGAAGTAGTGGGGGCAGCGCCGGCACTGCAGGCAGGAGATGAGCTGCAGGAGGATGCCGTTCAGCCGGTCCCCCAGGCACGCCTCGTCCCAGTCGGTCTCCCGCGGGTGCTTCTCGCACTCGTACAGCAGCAGCGTCTTCATGTGGTAGTTGTTGAGGGGCTGCCCGGGCAGCTCCAGGTGCCGGTCGCGCAGCGTCTTCAGCACCGAGAGGCACTTGTTCCGACAGCCGCCCATCAGCAGCCGGTTCTCGGCCTCGCCGAACTGCAGCACCCAGGCGTCGCTCTCGGCCGAGCTCTGCTTGCCCGTCAGCGAGTAGCACTCCTTGGAGAGCAGGTTGAAGCCCTCCGCCTTCACCTCCGCCACCCGGTTGGGGCCGGGCCAGGGGATGTGGGGCATGGGCCACTGCGCCGCGCTGCGCGGCCAGATCCCCGTGCACTTGAAGGCGGGCGTGATCTGCACCACGTACCGCTCCCGGATGCGGAGCTTCACCTCGCTGGTGTCCGCGATCATCTTCACCACGTCCCGGTAGCTGCACTTGTCCACGGCCTGGGCCACCAGCGTCTGGAAGCGGGAGCGGATCTTGCGGGCGGACAGGTAGCCCGAGGCGGTGATGAACTCCACCCAGAGGGACATGCTGCGCTTGCGGCCGTCGCTCAGCTTGAGCACGGCGCAGCCCGGCAGGGAGCCGTCGTCCACGAAGTTGAAGACGCCCATCTGGTTGAGGTAGAGCACCACTTCGAACTCGGTGGGCGAGATCACCTCCAGCCCCTCGTAGCGGGCGTCGATCTCGCTCAGGGAGCTGATGAAGCGGGGTTCCTGCACCTCCACCTCCTTCAGCACGTCCGACACGACCTTGCACACCTCCCGGATGGTCTTGGCGATGGCCGCCTTGCGCGCCTGGCAGCGCTCCGTGTAGTATTTGTTGAGCTGGTAGACCAGCTTGGCCTGCGCGGCGATCATGTTGGGGCACAGGTCCGGGCTGTACACCGGGCTCTCGCAGTA